CTGAGTGTACTTCATGTCCTTCCAATCTCCATCTCACATGTGCGCTCGTCACCCATAGGGCTTCTAGCCAGGAAGTTTTGACACTTGACAGGAACTAGAGGGATGATCCTGGATCTCCCTCCACCTCATCTCACTATCTTCTGATCTTGCTGTCTCAGTGGGATGCTCTGAACCCGATCTGTGCAGATAGCTCTGTCCCACTGAGAGAGGAATCTGGGGAGGGGGTGAAAAAAAGAGGTTTACCTCGTGACACTCCAAAACAAACACTTCTTGTGAAACACCGTGAGAGTCGCCGTTGACCTTTCCAGCTGGACTGAGCTGAGCTCGAGCGCTCTTGGGGAGGGCACCAGAGTTTTAAGTAAAATCTTTCAGGGAATCTTTCTCGTTTTAAAACGGTCAACTTGCTGAAACCCCTCCTGAGAAATGGCTTCCTCCAGATATCCATCCATTACAACCTGCAGCTTAATCATTAGCCATCCCTTTTATGCCACACACCTCACTCTGTCCCCTCCATGTCTCTATTGCTGTTGTGTCAAGTCATCAATCTTCTGGGGAATCTGTTTATCCCAGCGGGGCTTTCTTGTTCATCTTGCTGAGTGTAGACAGGAATCCAGAGAGGTTTAACCTTCACGGTACAGCCAGAGATCTGGAATATTTCCAGCAACCCAACTTACTTACTGCTAGCTTGATATCTTAATAGACAAGATTATCGGAGATGTTCAATTTGCCAGACAGTTGCCAGGGACATCATATTTGGAGTTGAATTTAATGACTGTTGGTCCCTTTTTAATCTGTCCAATAGCAATTCCAGTAAAAATCAGAATGAAGGCTTTTCTTGTATTGCGTCCCCATCCCACCTGCTGTGTCCCTTTCTGAAAGAGCTCAAAGGACGAGGGAAAGAAAGACCGATGAAGTGACCTGTCACCAGCGACTTTCTGCTCCCACAGTTTCCAATGATGACTTCATGGCCTTCACAATATCCTGCTTCGTCCTGCCAAATCTCTGTCTGCCCCATCCATCAATGGTGCAGCATTATGAGCAAGCATCAGTCTATTAAAATGTTTGAGCTTGTGCATTGTAAACTGGCAGGCTTGCTGTTGAAGTCAATCATGACATGTGGACAATATCCAAACTCAAACCTCATCTGTAACTGAATCCTGCTACTCAGTAGGGCTTAATTAATATGTCTGCATGCTCAGCCAATTATCAAATTCGCTGGCCTTAGTGATGTTGATCAGGTAATTGTTCTTGGCGTAATGAGCTCCTGCAAAACAATACCGCAGCATATATTTAGGTTTTAATTAAAGCACTCAGTGACACACATTACTTTACCTATTGAGGAAAAGCCAACACATTTAAAGTTGGCCCACTCCTTTTCTGGAAACCCTACCCTACCTCGGTGCATTAGCCACAGTAAAGAGAAGTGCAAGCCAACACATTTCAGAGAAAGCAATGCCACCCCTTCAATTATATCTGATGTTTGCAGGTGTTATGCCAGGCCATCATTTGTCCTTCTGGTTGTCATGATGCTGGCATCCTCCCCAGTGGAGGGTCACACAGATCGTAGAGGTAAAGTTTCCCCAGGCTCAGATATGTGTCGGATTCTCCTCTTCAGACATAGGGACCCCTGTGGGCTCAGAAGTCACCTTTCTAAAGACACGGGATCCAGTGCATTTGCATTCCTGTTAATAATCTAAACACACAGGAGAACCATTATAATCAAAAACAGCTTTAAAGAGTTTGTAGTTCATCCCATTAACCCTTTAAGACCTACCATAGAACCAAGTCCGCCAGAGCTTACTTTATATTTTTACATGCTGTAG